CTGGCAAACACTTCAAGAAAGCATTAAAGAAACAGTAGTTTGCGTTTGTGTTTGCCCAGAGGAAGGACATTTTTGTATACATTTGGACAGAGACACATTGGTTGATGATGTGAAACGGAATATCCCATGTTGGGAGAAATCAATTATGCATTGAGGGGCACTACCCTGACTGCTGAAGTAGCTGTGAGATTAAAGACAAGTATAGATGGATGTGTGCCTCATGTATATTCTCTCCAAGTAAGCCAAAATCCTCTTTGACTGTATGCTAAACAACTAATGCTCTGCTAACAGCAGCCTTTAAAACACTTGCACAACAACCTGTTATGGATGAAGAGTTTGTCCACTTCACAGACAGTCAGAGCTTTCAGATGTAACTGTGTAACAACGGGATGTTCTTCGTAGCAACTCTGAGATTAAATTTAAAAATCTGAAATTTGGGAGATGACCACCCCGCTTTAAAATAAAAATAGTATCAGCACTTTTGCAGCAAGTGCTACAAAAACTAATTTCTTTACAGGGATGGAAAAAAAATAAAAACTCTCAGTATCACAGTTTTCCTATTTGTGTGATGAATCTTTTTTCCATTAAAAATGCATTCCTCTCAGCAGCATTCATCAACAGATTGCCTGTGTCATCAATATTACTTTTTTTCCCAGCAAAAACAGCTCTTACTCAGCATCAGTGGGCCAGCTAAATTTCTCTCAGGCCCACATTGGGCTTTTGTTTGTTTTTCAGATCTGTCGTCATGAATTTTTCATTAGCCACTTGATGAGACATTTCTTGTGTTTTCCTTAAAGTATAAAGCACAGTGAGCGGTGTTATGGTGTGGGATTTTTTTCCACTGTGCAACTGCTACAGTGGCTTTGTTTTCATTCTGGCAGTAGTCAGAGTAGTTTGAATAAATTCATCAAAACTTAACCCAAATGGACATTTTTCACATAACAGCAAATACACTAATTTAGCAGTTTAAGGATATAAAATGTTTTTGTACCTGGTAGAGATGTTTTATTTTATTTTATTCTTTAAGCTTATTATTTTTGTTTAATAGCCTGAAATATGTTCATAACTATGTACTAGATTACAGTGACATTTAGTATCGAGACACTCATGGTCCCCAGAGGACAAACTGGAATGACTCTAATCTACTGACTGTCTTCTATGAACCTTTATGTTCAGTACTTTGATTCAAAACTGCTCAAAGAAAAGTGAAATTCTTACTTGGTTTGAATTGTAACCACTTCTCCCTTCAAGATAACCTCCTTCTGCACCTCCAGATCACTTTCAGCACTTCCAGTTTCCACCTCTGCTATTTTTGCTCTACAATTCCACTGAAAGCTCCTTTCTGGTTTCTAAGTCAGCTCATTTCAGTGAGTGATAATCCTTGAAGTGAAAAGGGTTCTTTGTCCAGGATGGATGGTGCAGAGGATAAAAAATATGGAAGCACTGTGGGTGTCATTACTTTTGCTAAAGGTTATACAGTATGTTCTTTAATTACTCCCCAGATAAAGTAATTCATTACACTGCTTGTTACATTACTTTCACGTCCCTCTTTAACGAGGTCTGAAATGCACTGTTACATAATTACTAGTTAACAATATAAAACTGAGCTACATTGCAACATGCCGACACAAACACGTATTCTAACACAAAGCCAGCAACACAAAGCAAAGTTAATAATCACCCAAATTAGACTTTAAAGCAATTGCCACAGTGATTCTACTGTGGAAATACGTACAGGTGGAAATGGAAGCTACATACAAGCCTGACTGCTCATCAAGGTCTCTGTTACTTGTGGGAGGTCAGGCTCTGGCTGCTGAGCTGGGGTCAGCGTACACTCAGCTTTAACGTCAGTCTGGCTTCTTTGCTAGCTTCGCGTTAACAACTTGTCTCCAGATGCTTGCAAAGAACATGCTGTGACTGAGTATAATGCAAGTTTTTTTTATCTGTCCTTGATGCAATTTGCACTTTAATATCTTACTCTTGTTCTTTCCTTATATAAAAACAAAAGTAATGCTTGTTTCTTCACTCCTTAAAAGTTTGCCATCCTTATTGCACACAAACCAAACTCAGGTGTGCAAGAAGAAGACCCATTTGATTCTTTCTATCCACCTGTTGTCCTGATAACTGAAGAACCTTTGCAACACAAGTAACAGCACAATGGTAACTGGAATATAATTACTGAATTTAGTAAAGAAATGTATTACACTACTGCATTACTGAAAAATGTCCTGTGATTACTGTACTTTTGAATTGCATTATGCCTAACATAGCATTTTGGGTAATTTTGAATAAAAAAATTAAGTCTGTTTTTGTAAATCTTTAGCAAACTGTAACATTTAAGTAGATTATCTGTGGTATGAAACCTCATGCTAATCAGCTAAAGACTGGAAAAAACACAAGCTGTTAGCCAATGAACGAGTCAGACACACCCACAACCATTAATATTTCTCTACACACCTTAAGTGTATCGTTGCATTTCTGTGCCACTTTTCACTAGATGAAGATCTAAAACTTAGCTTCTATGCTAGGATTTAAATTGTGAACAGAAATGTTCGTTTATAGTGTGTGAGTGAAATGTATGAAATGAAATGAATTTAATAATTTCACAGAACTGAATGAAGTGCACCCAATACCAGAATGTCCTTGTTGTCTACAATGCCATCACCAAATACTGATTTTCTGTTTGTAAAAATATCGCAGCTCTGTCTGCATCTTCACTGTGCAATTATACAACAAGGACACTAACACATAATTCTTCATGAAAAAGTTTAAATCATCAGTCACATGTGATGGATTTACGAAGGCCAAAACATTGAAGTAAGAGGAGCCAGATATGGTGGAAAGTGAATCGCCTTATATCTGAAATTTCCTCTGAGCTAATTTGCAGTGGAGTGCATGCAGACGCAAACCAATTAAGGCTCAGGAAAGCTGGGGAGAGGTCAACAGGCTGGCTATTATCTTGCTGTGCCAAATATATACCTGACGATATCTGGGGCAAGATTTGGGTCAAGAAAAAATGACCTGAATCGGACTGATGTGGTCTGTGGATCAACGGGGCCAGGTGGATGTGGGTAAGAGAGTAGGAGTCGATTTCTAACGAAGACTCCAGGGGCCACGCGGCAAGAGTTTATACTGTGTGAATGCCTGTGTGTGTTTCATTATGTGTCTGGATGTACTGTTCCCGTCCTGTGATTGTGAAGAACCTTTAGCTCGTTATTGAAATCCAATCTCATTTATGTCAGAGTAGCTGTCTGCAAAGCCTGTGTACTTGGTACAAGCTAAAGCTGGTCCCTATCTAAAGGATACAGAATAGAAATCAATTTGTGGGACGCATGACCTGACAGCTGTGGGACTAAATGACCTCAGAAACAACACTCTTAGGACTTAATCTCTGAGCAGTGTCAGCTATAATTCGTTTGGAGAGAAACTGTATAGACAGATGCATAACTTCTGCAACAACCTTTACTTGACAGAAACAGTCACGTGTTTGCACTACATGTGCAAGTATGAGCGTGTCTATATGATACTTTCCACAAGTTATTTCCCTTTAGTCTAGACACTGATGTAAGCAGTCAACAGCAGAGGTTTCCTTGAACTTCACAACCTGGAGATTGATTCTTCAATAAAGCAAGATGGTGTTTTTGAAACTTGGAGGAAGTTCACTTTCTCAATGCTCTCTGTTCAATCCTTCAAGTCCAACAAACAGATGATGTTCTTGTCTTTTCAAGTGATGTTTCATAATATATTTGTCCTCATGATATGTAAATGACAGTGAGATTACTGTATAAGGAATATTTATGATGAGAACAGAATACAGTGCCTGACATTATATCTAACGTAGTTTATCTTCAATTCAATCTTGGTTTAAATGGATTTGTACTGGATTTTATGAACACCACACAAAAAAAGAATCATTTAATGATTTAGATTTTTTAAGGTCCCTTACAAATTTTGTGGGAATCAATTGAAAAATCCAAAGCTTTAATCACTGAACCTTTAATAAATCTGCTTTGTTGCTTTGTTTGTATTGAGTGATGACAGAAGGATACTTTTTAGAGGCGTAACGGGACCTTTTGGGAGGAGAACCGTTTAATTGTAATCTCTGGTTCACTTTTGAAGATGTTTTTGTTATGTTGACAGTTAAGTGTTTTAAATGAAAAATCAATCCTACGTTTAAGCTGGTCAGCTTTTTGCTCTTGCTAGCATTTTATCTTTGTACTGTTAACATGTCTATAAATTTGTAAAAACAAAAAGATTTTGGCCTGAAATTATTTGTTGCAACTATCTGGATAATCCATTAATATTCATAATTTTTTTTTCACCTTTTAAATTATGAGATTTTTTTGCTTAAACTGTAAACTGAGTATATCTGGCCGCCTGATGGGCCAAAATCAAAAACTAAACTTTTGGATTAAGCTTTTCTCTGTATGTTTTAACTCAGTTGGCCAATTGATAACTAAGCAATGAATAAAATAATGTTCAGAGCTATTTATGTTGTGTAATTACCAGCCCTAAAATCTGTTAACAGTTCTATATTTGCAATCTTTTGCACATAGCTAGGAATATAGCTTTAAAACAAAACATTCAGTTCAAAGTTAATGGGCCATTTGCTAAACGTACATGGCACATACACCATATAGGCAACATTTAATGTCTGTCATGTTTATTAAGTTATATATTTTTAGAAGTTGTAGATCTTAAACATGAAAAATGTTATGCTTTTGTTGTTTGGTGCTCATGGCTGCCCCTCCCTGAGCCTGGTTTTGCTGGAGGTTTCTTCCTCTTAAAAGGGAGTTTTTCCTTTCCACTGTCTCCAAGTGCTTCCTCGTAGAGGGTCATTAGATTTCTCTGTATTATTTTAGAGTCTATAGAGTCTATAAAGCACCTCGGGGTGACTGTTGTTGTGACTTTGTAGCATATGTAAATAATAGTTAATTGAATGTTTCAAAATTCACTTTTTATGTCTTTTGTGTAAAAATAATTATATATGTACACCTGTATTTGATTCAAGTATCACAATTTATTACAAAAACTAGAACTTTTTTTCATCTGTCAGTGTTGCCATGCTTTAAGCATATAACAATACAGTATAAAACCTCAACCCAAAGGTAGAATAGTAAAAGCAGAGATCATAGATGCTGACGCAGCATTACAGAAGTTAAGACATGCTGTTACTGTACAGGAAACATTACGACTGAAGTACAAGCATCTGTAAAATGTGCCATTGGCATCAGTGATTTGCATTTTACCATAAGCAATCTGACCCTTCCTCAGTTTAAAGTGTCACAGGAAATGCCCCCTTGGAAAATAATTTACACGAAAATAAATACAAACACAGAAACACTCTGCAAATGATCATGGATGTGCTGAGATATTTTTCAACAGCCCAAGGCACTCAGGCTCAAACATTGGCAATAAATATACATCATTCTTCAGACAAATCACGTCAAGCAGGTGTGGTTAGAGAAAGAAGAGTGACAGAGAAACAATGTTGTCTAGTTCGTAACCTCTTGAAGAGCGCAGTCCTTTCAAAAAAACAAAAGTCCACCTGGCCTTTTTTCACAGTGAAAATCGCTGGCAGTCGAGACAGAAAAAAGACATATGAAGGACTCAGTCATTTTGTTGACTAGTGCGACATCTGTTCTCTAAAAACTACATTAACCTCTTACTGTATTTTTGATGCTGGCCTGTCATTTTGGTCTCTGAGGGCGACCTCTGCTCACTAGAATGGCATCACCTGCTCCTCCCGGATGCGCATTCAAGCACCACAGGGTGTCGGAGCGCTCCCCTTTTATTTTTCAGTGGCCCATCCCACGTGAGAATCTGGTAAAATATCTATCAAACTGCCCACAAGTGATGTTTTCAAATATCTATGACAACCCAGACGCTATTCACTGACACAATCTCCTCAGATTGGCTGACCTTTTGAATGAGTTTACCGAGGCCGTGACAACACTGGTTTTAGCAAAAACCACTGAGCTTCTCTTCCCTGCAGTTCAGTTCAGTTGAGCTGGCGACAGGCTTCGAATGTCCACTTCGAGGCACCTCCATAAATATCGAGGCTGGTCTCCATCCATGCAAAAACGTTGCCCACTTGCGCTTTGCTGCTGCATGTCGCTAGATTGTAAATTTCTCCCACGGACAGTTTACGATCCCAGATGTGAAAATTTGCCAGGTCTCCTACAAAAGCTTGCGTGGCATCGAACCCTCCTCCAAGCGTGTCCTGTGGCAAACACAGTTTGATTTAATAAAGGATGATGAGCCTGCTTCGTGAAGAGAAACCACAGTCTCTTTAACTATTTGGATGTTTATTTGCCAATCCAGTGGGATTTTTTGATGAGCTCTAACCTTATCAAATTTAAAGTATTCAATTTTTAAGGTTCAATGAATACAAATTATCCAGCTGCTTACATTTTGTTGTAATACAACATAAAATACTATAATGTATGATTTGTTGTGTGTTACTAAATCATGAGAAATAACATTTTTTTTAAAAGGTGCTTCTTTCGACTGGCAGGTGTGGAGCATTAAAACCAGGCTGTGCTTACTGCTTACCTGCTCCTGGCCAAGGATCAGCAGGCCCTGAGATTTGATGGGATGATACGGAGCCAGGTTTTCTCCACTCCCCCTCTTGACACCATCTTGAAAAGCCTCCCAAACACCATCACGAGTTGTCCAAGTCACGCAGATATGATGCCACTTTCCGTCGTTGATGAGAAATGGCAGCTTTGCTACCTTTAAAAAGTTCAAATGCAGGAATTATCAGACCTACAGTGGAAACGAGAATGTCTTACAGTCTAAAAAAAAAATCGAGTGTTATTCGATTTTTCCTGCGTTTTTCTCGTACCTTGTCATTTATTAGAATCTCCATTGGATTGTTCCCCCACTCTATGAGAACCAGCTCGTTGGCTTGTCCAGGAACTGCGTAGGAGAAAGGTGTGCCCACTCCCGGGGAGGCGTTGGACTTGAGCCACATGCACACGGTGAGGGCATACATCTCTGGCAAACTCGTTTTCACTTTTGCGTACATGTAGTTGGTCCTCAGTGGGAACGTGAGCTGAAATTTATCCAGCGGCCTGTTTTCTCTCTGACCTGCCGTAGAAGAAACAGGAAAACAGGCTTGAACTCGTTTTAGAGGACGTGTTCTACCCCACACAGATATATCATTCCTAGTGCTCACATCCTGGGAATATTAACTGGGAATTATACGTTACACAACAAATCCACAATGGTGACGCGCCAGATTTGTTTTAATCTCGCGTGCTAAATCCATCACAGGAGTGGTAACGCTGTTAACGGCTATCTCTTCTTTTCATATTTGCCCGCACCTCATTGACTATATTTAACAGAAATCGCCGTAGACGGTTCTTCCGGAAAAAAGGAAGAAAGAAAAAGAAAAAAGCGAAAGAGAGCGAGTGAGCGGATGTTGTAAATTCTCGTGTGTCTCTTGGAGCAAATGGCGGTGGCAGGTCACTTAGTGCATGTTTGAAATGGTCTAATCTGGCCAGAGTGGGAGTTGAAAACTGCGGGATATACACTGTCCCACCGGCTTTGTGCTCAACATTAAATCGGATATATAATAATGTAGCCCACTATCCTAGATTGGACCCCCCCCCTCCTCTTGACTTTCCATTTTTTAAATCAATTTTCTTATGATTGCTTGATCGTTACAGTCCCCAGCCCATATTGCTTACAACTAATCCACCACCAACTCTTTCCACTTACCTTTCTCCAGGTCGGTGATCCTCTGGTGTAGCGATGTGAGTGTGGACTCCACTCTCCCACGCTGCTCTGTCTCATTGCGGAGTCCGGGTTTGCCCTCTTCGATGCCGTTCACTCGGGACAGCACCTGCTTCTCCAAGTCATCGATTTTACTTTGGAGAAGGTCTTTCAGGCTGTTTGCCTGCACCGAGTTGTTGCTTCTGCTGAATTGCTGTCAGGGGGTAAAAAGTGCGCATTTAGGTGAAAAAGGTTCAGATTCCAGATTATATTTTATTTTGGAGGGTCACTGCCGTAAACTTGAACGAGCAATTTAACCTACGCAAAGAATGTTTTTATGTTCATCTTATGTTCACACTGCGAATTAATTTTAAGAATCTAGACTTGTTAACCTATTGTTTTATTATAATTTTTGTATGTTTTCCATCTTATTTGTCGCAAAACGAGCTGTACGCAAAAGTGTTTATATTCTCCCCGGAAACTGCAGCCCTACCTCCAGATTCTCTAATCTCTGCTTCAGCGACTGTAAAGTCTGTGATAGTTGCGTCAAAGTGTCCGCGGGGCCTCTGGACACGTCCCCCATCGTATTTTTGGTCCCCGCTTCTTTCCTCCTGCCCCCGGGCCGCGCGTCCCCGAGGTCTGCGCCGCTCTGGCTCTCACACCGAGCCAACTTCGAGGTGAGCTCTCTGATAGTCTCTTTTTGGTTCATGATCGTCTCCTTCTGCTGTAAAACCGTCTCCCGCAGCTGCATAACCGTGGTCTTCAAGTCCTCTCCCGGCACACTGTTCTGCAAGGTGGCCGAGCATATGTCCATATCCTTGGGTACGGACGTGCAAATGAACTGCGTCTGTCCGCCAAAGTCTTGAGACGAGCTCTCCAAGAAGACGCAGGAAAATAGAAAAAGTTTCCAGCAGATTTCTCTCTTTGCGGCCCGCATGTCGCCGTCTGCGCCGGGCTTCACTTTTTATTTATTATCGTCTTTAATTCTGTGCTTTATGAGCCGCAGTGACTTTCGCCAGTGTCCCCCTTGTTGTTGTACTCCGTCTCTGCAAGTGCGGCAGGTTTTTATACAGCGTGCCCGGTTCTGCGCAGAGCCGCTCTCACTGCATCACAACCGGTGGGAAGGGAGGGGGGGTCGCGCTGCCCCCGTTTAAAAGGCTCCGGAATCCGCGTCACATTCAAGAGATGAAACCCATTTCGCTCGCGGACTCCCACGTGTTAAATCTTTCATGGCTTTGGCTGTTTGTCATTTCTCCCCGTGTGATATTAATCTGGAAAACGCTGATTTGTAGATGGTAGTGGTTTGGGAGTTGGGGGTGTTGCTTTGCATGGCGGGGTGCCAGCAGAGCCAGCTGTGTTTTGTTTTGTTTAGGGTACACCTAAAGACTCTCTCTCACACATACACACTCACACACACATGCTGCGGGTGGATGCAGAGATCAGAAAGTTGCAGCAATTTGTGGCTGAGAGAGAGATAGTGAGTGTGTGTGTGTGTGTGTGTGTGTCCCACAGATTCAGCACCGGGGACAGCTCCCACCACTTTACAGTATCAGCAAGAGCAAAGAGAGCGGCTCGTGTACGCGTTTAGTTCGTTTGAACGTGGAGAGCGTGTTTCTCCCGCTGTCATCTGGATCATACACGTCTATCTCTCTCACTCACTCACTCACTCACTCACTCACACACACACACACACACACACACACACACACACACACACACACACACACACACACACACTCCTTATTTATCCCCAATGACCCGCTCTTGCAGTCAGTGGTCTGCTCTGCGCAATAATTATCTCAATAATTCAGTTTCTAAAATGATAATCTGTCCCCCAGCAATTTAGCCCATCTATTATTCAGGAAGGGCATTTTCCCTCCCGTTTCTCACTATCTTTTTATTCGGTTGGTGATTAAAATAAAATGAAAATACTGCAATTCAGTTACGAGAACATATTGTCTTTCAAATCAAATTTGATCTTTGGAAGAAAAAAAAAAAGAACACAGGCAGGAGAGACAGGACTCCACGTGACAGACGGATGTTTGACAGAGGTGGTTAAATAGGTCATGCCATAATTACTCTCATCTATAGTGGGTCTCTGGGTTGTAGTTGCAGGTGCTTTTTTAGGTCAGGAATTAACACTGGATGATTCATTTGCTATATAACTGTGGTGTTAGTTTTATTATTGGATTACAAGCAAGTAGTCAAATAAAAAGTGTCCTGTTAGAATATTCACTGCTGTGCAAAAGTCATGAACCACACTTCATGACTTTATAATTTGGGAAGTAGGTGCAGTGATTTAATGAAACCTGGGCAACAATACACAAGGGAAAAACAGTTTATACAATTCTAATGAGCTTGAAAGTTAACATTTGGTATGACAGTCTTTATGCTTCAGCACAGTCTGAACTCTCTTAGGGAGCTTTCTTGTCATTTCTTTAAGTAGCTCTCCAAGCTTCTTGAAGGACATTCAAAGCTCTTCTTTGGATGCTGACTGCCTTTCTGTTCTGTTCTCTGTCTGTCTGGGTCCCACACTGCTTCAGTAATGTTGTGACCCAGGCTCCTGGGAGGCCAATCCATGGCTGATAATGCAACCGAGTTCAGACCCCTTCCAGATGGTAAAGCATGATGGATAAAAAAATCTGTTGGTACTTTTCTGAATTCACAATTCCATCAGTTTTGACACAGTCCCCCAAACCCCTGGCTCATTTGCAGCCCCAAACCATGCCAGAGCCTCCACCTTTCACAGGCTGGGTCTCTGACCCAGCGCTCTGAGTTCATGTTTGTATTTGTCTCATTTTGTTATGTGATTTAGTTTGTGTTATTTCCTATCTGCCTTTAGTTTAGGCAGTTGTTATTCCTGGGTTTTCTATGTTTTGGGGTTTTGTATTTATTCATCACATATTAGGTCTGTTAAGTTGTGTTGTCATGTTTTAGTATTTCCTGTTTTATTCTGACAATGTCATGTGTTCTTTGTTTATTGTATTTAGCTTTCCTCTCCTGGTCCTGTCATTAGGTTTATGTCTGTCAGCTGTTTCCCCCATGTGTCTCCACTTCCCCTGATCACCTCATGTATGTATTTAAGCCCTTTGTTTTCTGCATGCCATTGTCAGGTCGTCTGCTCATCCATGTCTCATCTCCAGGTACCCATGTCAGTTCATTATGGTTAAGGTTTTTCATGTTTTGTTATTAGTTCACCCAGTTTAGGTTATTGTTTAGTTTTCACCCATGCCCTATTATTTTGTACCCTTGTTTCTTGCCTTATTAAACGGCTTGTTTTGTTAATCCACACCACGTTTTGGTCTGCGCTTGAGTCCTTCCCTGCAACACATACGGTCTGCCCCAGCCAGACCGTGACTCCACCTTTGTTCAAGCTTATTGCTGACAATTTGAACAAAGAATTTCAAACTTGGATTCGTCACTCTAGAAGACATGTTGTCACGGATTTTCGGTCCAGTTCTTGTGTAATTTGGCATAACTCAGCCTTTTCTCCCCGCTTCCCTTCCTTAAGAATGTCTCCTTGACAAGCACTCTTCCACAGAGATCATTTCTGATGAGGCTTCAGCAAACAGTTGATGGATCCACCGATGGACAGCTGAATTTTCGTAGGTCCTGCATCAGGTCTTTGCTGGATTTTTCCCTTTTTCTTCAGGACATGACTTTTTGATATTGGTCATCTACCACCTGCTATGGACATTCTTTTTTTCAGGCATATTCTTTATTTGTTTTTCCAGCACTTGTCCAGTTTCCCTTAAATTTTGTCAAAATAAAAACACTGAAAGACTTTCAGGAAGCCTGGAGAACTACCACTCAAGACAATGTCTGACTTCTTCAAAGTGAAATATAAAGAAATTAATTCCAGCTCAAGACTTTTGCACAGTACTTTATGTCTTTCTTTGCCTCACTTTTCACTTGTCACATCACTGTGCTTCTGTGTCATAATATGTGACATAACTGAGCATTATCAGGATTTACGTATGTATTACGTGTGTATTGCTAACTTAATGTCCCCTGAACTTCTCTCTGTGGATTACAGTCTGTTTAAGTGATGCAGCAGAGTCTACTTTAAGTGGAATGAAAGGCCAGAGAGGTTTAGCGATTTTACTTTCCGATGTTAATCACTGATAGACGCTCTTTCATATTATGAAAAATAAAGATGAAACCAGTGAAAATGGTTTCTTTTCAGCATTTTAGTTTGGAATGAAAGGTGATGTAACTGTTCGGGTAGAGTTGCAACTGGAAGGCCGCTTATCTGGAGGTTTTCAGGGACGGGATGAACAAAGTTACAGAGGAAAATCCAGGTCAGTGGTCAAAGCCATTATATTTTGTGAGAGACCAAGCAGAATTCATCAAACCTTTTTGTGGAATTTTCTTGCAGCAACACAACTAGAGCATTCACAATACACCAAGCCGAGAATGTGGAAAGCATGGGGCCTATTACAGAGAAATGGTTCTTGGGTGAAATATAAACAGACAAAAACCCCAAAACTTTGATACATGTTGTGCAACATGAAGCCACGCTCTTTGGCCCTCCCAGGGCATCTTTACTGGCAGCGCCAAAGATGTGAGTAAACAACTTTTTGTCTCTTCAATATCAGCCATCTGGTAAATCTGTGCTGGTTATGTAATTACTGACAATGGACCACAATGCTTTTTTTTGCGTGTGTGTTTTTTACTAAGTCTATTCATTATCAGTATCGTCTTCCAATAAAGTGATTTGCCAGAGCTGTAGCCATTGCCGAAATGTGCTAGTTAATGAGCCGAATAGACAAAGAAGTGAAACTGTGTTTTTATTGTTTCGATTGACTTTATTCCACATAATCAGGCAGAAAAACCTAGACATCATCTACCCTGTGGGGAAAAGAGAGCAGTGCAAAACGTCCAAAGTCTAGCTCTCATTATAAATTCATTATTCAGGGCTTCCCACATAAACAAGTCTCGGAGCCATATGCTTAAAGTAGAAAAACCTTCTGTAGCGCCTCAGAAACACGCTGCACCTCTTCCCTTCACCTACTACTCCCGCCACTTCTCCTCCCTCCAGTCATGTGAAACCCGAAGAAGACACTTGAAGCAGACTGTTGTTTTGAAGAATTTCCAGTCTCTCAGGTTAACATTTTCCACTGCGTGTCACAAGTTCAGCCTGTAAACATTTCTGTTTTGCTGTGACTGCTGCATCAGCTATTGAATTAGTAATGTACTTAGCTGTGCTGTGCGTGAAATAATATGATGGTTTGGATAAATGTTTATTTGCTGTTCAAGTCGTTGTGCGAGAGGTGACGATCAGTGACTCTGGAGATGCTAATCTCACGCAAGCAGCTGCCAGTCGCTCTTATCACAACCCTGTTCGGTATCACTGCAGCTCTGTCGGGGATGTGCTGCCAGGCCTCTGTCCACCTGTTCTGGTGAACAGCTTCACCTTCTAATAGATTCAGACAGAGAGGAAATGCATTCTCCAGCACTGGGGATCAATACTTGTAATTGCACATGCTGTCAATGTGCAATATGGTTTTTCTCCCTGATCTCTTTCCTACGTTCTGCTAAAGTGCTGCGATAATCTTTTTGGTTTTAATTTGTCCACTGACATTATATAATGCTAGGGGTCTAAGTTCAGTAAACTGTAACATATCATACTACAAAGTGTGTATATAATGGTTTAAATTACTAATTAACATAGCAGAAAAAGTGTGTTTCTTGCAAGTCTTCTTGCAGTAACTCTTATACTGTGGGTAAACCTGTTTATTTTCTCTTTAAATTGTGCCACACATATTTTTATGCCCAAATTTGAGCACACTGGCCCTCTTTGAGAAGTCAGGAATTAATCAAGCATAACATTTATTCGCTAAAAATTTCAAGGATAACAACCATAATTGTATTTTAGCATTAAAACTGTTATTTCGATTAAAGCAACGTCTGCATCTTCATGCACACATAGTTTGACTGTTCTTGATTTAAATAATATTTTTGGAGGCAAAGGTCTTTTGTGTATTTATGTAAGAATATCTTGCCAATACATTTTCTCATTTCTGCTGTGAGTTAGTAATAA